GCAGCTTGCGTGGTGAGGAGTTGTTTGAACTGGCTCTCTGGTAATGAGGACTGCAACAGATCACCAGTGATTCAGCTTCCAGATTGCTGCCCGTATTTTTCTGGATCTCTCTGCTCAGGTCTAGGTACCTCGTTAACAGAAAGTACTGAACAGGCAGGGAGTGACTACAACTTTGCCTGCCACACATTTGTGACCCTGCAGAGTGGTCTCACTGCCCATCAGGAGCTTGAGGCCCAGAGGCTGCAAAGCATCCAAGTATCCACTGAATTCAATGGCAACTGAGGTGTGCCCCGCACCTTGCAGGATTGGTCCCCCAAATCAGCTCTTCCACCCCCCAACCAAGGGGAGCAATGCTGAACAAAAATGACTATGCCTTCTCAACAGCTCCAGGGAGAAAAATGAGCGGTGGAATGAGCTGACACACACCCAGACCCCACCCCCAGAAAAGGCGGAGGAGACCAAATACAATCAGCAACAGTCCAGTGCCGAGTAGAGGAGGTTCTTTAACCCCAGGTTAAACCAAATTGTACTGAAAACCCGGGGTCCTTGAAAACAGGGGGTTGCCTGGTGGAGGTAGGAATTCTGAATCCCCTTTCACTTATATATTTTACATCTGTGTCCTTCCGTGTGTCTCAGTTGGGCTGCTGCTGGTTTAAACACTGGTGCCAGCGAGAGAAAAACAAAGCCCCAGGGTCCTTGCTGCAGGTTTCACTGTACTAACATAAGGTGAATTTACCCTGAGAGGAGAGCATGTAGGAGTCCTGTGTATCACCGGGGTCCTAAGTGAGCTGAGGTGGTGGCTAGGCCTTGTGCTGAGCGGCCCTGTACAGCAGTGAGTTTTATTTATCAAGAGAAAAATCTGCAAGGCAAACGTTGTTCCTGGGAGCCTGCCACAGGACACCCAAGAAGAGGTCACACAAAAGGGTTGAGAAGGGATCATTCTGGTCCCCTGTGTTCAAATAAGATGAATTTAAAGTGGAACAGGTGCAGAGAAGAGTGACAAGGATGATCAGGGGGATGGAGAAGAGCCCACAAGAGCTTGTCTTGTTTAATCTAGAAAAAAAAAAAGAACGCTGAGACAGGCTCTGATTGCTCTGTATAAATACACCAAGCAGATAAACACTAGGGAGGGTGAAAAGCTATTTAAGATAAAAGACAAAGCTGGCACAAGAACAAATGGAAATAAACTGGCCAAAAATGAATCCAGGCTGGAAATTAGAAGAAAGTTTCTAAGAGGCATGAGGTTTTGGAACAGCCTCCCAAAAGGAGTTGTGGGGACAAACAACTTAGTTTTAAGAACGAGCTGGACAAATTTATGAGTGCGACTGTGTGATGGGGTTGCTTGTGATGGTGGGGGGCAGGGCTCAACAGCCTGGGGGCTCACTTCTGGTTGATGTGTTATGTTACCAAAGCTCATGCTTCAGGGTTTCAGCTGGCCACTGGTTGGGGTCAGGAAGGGATTTTTGCCCCCAATGTATTTTTTTATCTCCTTCCTCTGAAGCATTGGGGATGGCCACAGCTAGAGATGGGATATTGGATGGGAAGGGCCAGGGCTCTCTCTCAGGTGCTGGGCTGGCTCAGGGTCCAACTGATCACCCTATGTGGTGTTGGGAAGGAATTCTCCCCAGGTCAGATTGGCAGTGACCTTGGGAGTGGGGGATTTGCCTCCCTCTGCACCATGGGGGTGCACATCACTTGCCAGGATTATCTGACTATAACTCACTTAATACTTTCCCTGCCATTGCAGGGGGCTCAAGCACTGGTGCACCTGGTCCCTCCTGGTGGTGACACAGACAGTCTACTCCCCTGTTGGCTCTAATTCTTTGGTCTCCTTTCCGTTGTCAGGTTTAGTGTGTGGGCACTGGGGGATGTTGGTGGCCTGTGACATACAGGAGGTCAGACGAGATGATCTTGTCCCATCTAGCCTTAACTCTAGGACAGTTCTGAATAGAGCAGGCTGAAACGAAAAATCAAGAAAGAAACAAACTAAAAGTGTGTGTGAAATGTTTGCTAGCAGTCCCTTGGGCTTTTTGACCCGCTCTAAGTCCAAGTCCAAAAGCCTGACTCTGCAGAAGGAAAAATGCAACAGCGGTCCTGGTAATTTATCTCAGAGATGCCAAAGTAACAGACAAGATTCCATGTGATCGTTGCTCTACCATCTTGGCTCTCTTTGATATGCCCCTAGCTCACAGGAGGGAGCAGTGCACTAAACCATGCTGGTGAAGGGTGAAGCTAATTAGCTCGCACCCTGTAAACTGAGGAGAGGGATTTGAATCCCCCGTAAAAAAACAGGTTTACATTTCACAGTCACAAGCACCATACACCTTCCAGTTCCAATGATACAGACGGCAATAAGTCAGTGCAATAGAGGGAAGAGGAGGGTAGCTTTTGGATAAAATGCTTTTATGAGCTGCAAAATTATTGGAAAACCTATTTAGGCTTCCATTGAAATAGGAGGTTTTATTTTAATTTATGTTGTAATGGAAGCTTATAACAGTGCAGTACCATAAACACAAACAGCACAATCTTATAAAAATTTCATCTTTATCTATTTTTGGGAAAAATAGCCCTGTCTGCCTAATTGAAGCATCTGTCATTCTGACATTAAATAGTGCATCTATGGCCCTATTATTATATTTCCTTGCATTTCTCAAACACTGTTAAATTGAAATAACACTGTTGGCTTGGAGATAAAGGGAGATAATAAGTATTTTATAATGAGCAGAAAAAGGATATATCTTCCATCAGAGCTGGAAATTGCTTTATCTTTTTAGTTGTTGTTTTGTTCCCCTAAAGGGGATTTTTCTGCTGCTGAAATTTCTCAGCTCCCTAATAAAAGTAAGATCAAGTGAGGAGCATTTATACAAACATTAAGAGACATGACTGTGAGACAGCTACTCATCAGCATTTGAAGTGATAGCCTTTATAAGCTGTTCTAACAAATGATTTTGGACATGCATAGAGATGTTCACAGTGAAGCTGTATTTAAATTATGTTAAAAAGGGAACTTCAGAGATTATTTTTCATCATTTTAAAAAATCATCTTTTTTCCCTGCATCATCATTTATAATCACTCCTTCGAAGCATGACATTGAAATTCAACCCTAGTTAATTTTCTCCCTTCGGAGGTGAGTGTCCAAGCTGGCTTCTTTTTGTAGTGATGCTCGTGTGTTGTGGGGGCTGCTGAAGATGCTGACTTGTTTTTGTAAGGTTGCACATCAGTGGTGAGGGCTCAAACATGCGGGTTTGTTGTTGCATGGTTGCATACAAGCAGCAGAGGTGTGCAGCTGTTGGCCTCTTGCTCTGCGACTGCACAGGTGTGGTGTGGGTTCTTCCCAGGCTGGCTTCTTGTCCCACGGTTGTACACAAGCAGTGGGGACCTGCCCACACTGGCTGGTTTATGAAGGGTAGCCACGACAATACCATATAGACTTAGCTGAGGATATCCTTGCCTTGCCCCTAACCAGGCCTTCCATGTCAGTTAGCCAAATGAGCAGCGGTTTTAGCCCCAGCCATAAGAACAAACTGACCCCCTGAAAATTACCCCCTCCCACTAAAACAGACTTGTTAAAGGGGCTGGGGGGAGTTGTGTGAAATAGGAGGAGAAGGAACTCCACCAAGAGGGTGCTGCCCTGAGGTGTGAATAAGCAGGCCTTGAAAATCTGGGAAATGAAGACCTTTGGCATAAGGTTTGCTGGGCACTTGGCACTCAGAGGCTTGTCTTCTACTTCTGAAATTACACATGAAGCACCCAGCCCTTCTAGACGCACTGAAGGTTTTAGCACCAATTCAGCTCCTCACACATCCTGAGTCTCTCTGAAATGCGATGAGGTTTTGCAGTAAAGGAAAAAGCCATTGTTAATTCTTGTTGGGCTTTTCATCTGTCTGGTGTGGTGACCCATACAGGCATGTCAGTGAAGCTGGCAGGGCATTCTCTTTCCACCGGCTCGCTCTCTGCTATGCAGCCCCCCCACTTGCATGGAACGTTCCCCTTTCCAGCACGTTCCCCTTTCAAATCCCTGAGCCAAGTTGCCACAAAATGTGTGGCCACATTTTACCCCCAGTCCCCACAAAATCATGTATCTAATGTATCTGAGTCCTGAGATACTAATACAGACCCAGGCTCCACGCTGCGATGCTGAGATTTGTAATCTTCTTGCTAATACGCAGCATTTGGTCTACTGCTTCCTCTTGTGACCTTCATTACCAGGAGCTCCTTAAATCAAAGTACCTAGACTGCACCGTAAGGATCGCCACTGTCACCTTTATTGCTCTGGCCAGCGAAAGCCCAGCTAAACTCCCAAATGCCAGGATGGCAGCCCTGTGCAGCCGTGGTGCCGATGCCCCCTAAAACACCACGCCCCAGGCAACGCCGCACGCCTTGAGCCTGGGGGAAGCATTCCTAAGGCAGAGCAGGAGTTCAGCCTGTGTAGCCTACTGAGGCTACCAAAAATTGGGGCCAGTTCATGCCAGTTTTGGTCTCTCTTCCCTTCTCCATTCTGCCTCTTCAGCTCCCGCTGTTCGTAAGTAACATATTGTCAGGACTCTGTCTCAGGTATGCAGCTAAGTCCTGACAATCCCCATGAGCGATTAACTGGAGTCTGGGCTCTGAGACCCACCCCCCTCACAGGGTTTCAGAGTCCGGGCTCCCGCCCTAGCCCAAATGTCTACAGTGCCATTGTTAGCCCCAGAGCCTGAGCCAGCAGACGTGGGCCCGCACAGTGATGCTGTGGGTCTCTTATTACCATGTAGACATATCCTGGTCTCAGTGGGTATGTGGAAATGATTCAGCTGAACATAAGCCATACATACCAACTCCTGGAACAGTGATTATCTCTTAGGTTTCACCCCAAAGCCATGCTGATGGATGTGGCATCAGAATCCAGAAAGGTGAGGCCAAGCAGCTCGTTTCCCATTTAGGCATAGGGTGTTCATGGCCAGGTGTTTGGAAATCTGGCTCACAGATAGCATGTAAAAATATCCGTTACTCTTCTGTGTCTGTACAGCTCCTAGCAAAATGGGGTCCTGGTCCATGCTGGCAGCTCCTAGGCATTATGATAATACAAATAAATAATAATAGTAATTCCTACAGAGACTGACAAATCCAGTAAACTTGAGTCAATAAGCACAAAACAAGTGGTAGGAGGAAGAAGCCTGGGAATCAATAATGCTAAAAGAGACAGTAAACTTGACATGGGTATGCAGTGTGATGGCAGCAGAAATGGTCAATGCTATTCACAGCTATAGGATCAGATCATACATCAGGAGCCCTCTATGGAGCTCTGGTGCGCCCACACAGGTAATAGTGTGTTCAGTTCTGCACATCCTGGCACCAGAAAGATAGTGACAGATCAAAGGCAATTCAGAGAAAAGCCACAACATTAAGAGGAGATGAGGTGGAAGACCTGAATTATGAGGAAAGACTAAAAGAGGGGAATATGCTCATGTTGGCCAGGGGAAGTTGTGAGTCTGCAAATATTTGAAGGGTGCAAACCCCATGAATGGAAAGCGTTCTTCAGGGCAACCTCGAATGATTCTATTTGGTGGTTCACTCCAAAGGCATAAAAGATCCACAAATCTGAATAAAATATTGCTAATGTTTTCCTTACCAATCATCAGGGTAAAGGGCAGGGGGTAGATTTTGTGCCTGGGCTGGTAAATGTGCATCACAACAAAGCAAGGGTGATTTAGGGAGGCACAAAGCAGTGTATCAAGAGGGGATGAAATTAAATTAAGAAAGGGAAAGTTCTGCTTACATGAAAGGCAAACGCCTCAAAAATATGTGTAATATTCATCTGATCCTGGAGGCTGCTGAAGGCAGGGAGCCCTGTAGAATACCCATCCCATTTATGTATCAGCCAGTTCTTCTGCAGACTGGCTCAAGGGGCATTTAATAGTTCATGAATCAACTGATCTGCAGAATATTTTATTTCTCTAATAACCTGGATGCTGAAAAAGAAAAGAGGTTTTTTTACCTTTCCTAACCAAACAAAGTAGAAGATAAGAGGTGATGAGGAATAAAGATGCATTGTCAACATTTTACAAGCTTTCCCATTATTAAAAGCTGCTTTTTGCATAAACAAAGTGGGCCAAATTGTGGCTCAACTAGATAGCTTAGAATCAATCTCTCCTCTTGCAGGCCAATGTGTCCTTTGGAGACTACAAATCCCAGCAGGCATTGTGCCATCCTGAGCCCAACAGTCATTGCTTGGAGAAGGGTGTAACAAGCGGCAATGAAGGCTGTGAGCTGTAGTATCTGTAGGCCACTGTGCCTTATAAAATGGAGCAGACTGCTGCTCCCCTGCTCTTTTCTAAAGAATAACTCAACCTCTGTTGAAGGTGACTTTGGATAGACCCGCGTTTGAGTATCTCCTGCTGTAAAGTAAAACAAAAACAAGCCATGCAGAAACAAACCCCAGGCTGGTTTGCATTGCAAATACCATTAATATCTGTTAGTCTCCAGTGGGGTCCCCTCTACCCCATGCAGGGCTGGCACCAGATAGAAATGTCAAGCTTTAAATCAAAAGCAGCTACCCAAATTAACACCCTTGTGGTGTGAAACCACAAATGATTTTAGGAGGAACATGGATGGATGGTTATGAATCAGGTTTCATAATAAATTTCCTCCGCTGCATGGTGAGACCCCTGTTGTTTCCAATTGAGAAGCAACGCAGGAGGTGCAGAAAGACGTTTTGTTACATTAATGGAGAAAAATGCAGCATGAGATTTATTGTTTTCCCTACAGTTCCCTCTAAACACAATAGGGTTCATGCCCTACTAGCAGCTTCTACCTTCTGAGCAAGTTCATAGTCCAATTAGTGGGCACCAATCAGTCCCAGCTATTGCTGCAGCTTTATTCCTCAGGGAGGCAGTTTTCCTAAAATGATTTCACTCCAAGCTAAGCAGAAGTGGAGTCAGGTTGCCCCGGTTTATGTCTCTGGAGAAACCGCTAGCTTTGGCGGGATAGGCTGAAGGTCCAGAACCTCAAGCTGGACATCAGTTTTACCTTTTCGATTCTGTGTGTTCTTCCCAGGGCTGAAAGCTCTACAAAGTGATCGTTGGTGCAGCAGAGATTCTGGGAGGGGACAGGTAAAATGTGAAACCTATAAATAATTAAATAGTAACATTTAGAAAGTGACAGATGTTGGCAGACTGGTTATCCCAGAAGTGTAGGTAACTGGCCCTGGGCGTGTGTGAGCCTTCTCTCTAGGCTTTGTGGGGCTGTCTGTATAATGTTCTGTACTGGTTTATTTTTTTAGTTTGGCTACATACATTTCACAGCATCAGGGTGTTTTTTTTCCTCTTTGAGACTCCTGATAGCTGATATACTTTTCAAGCATGGTGGTAATAAATGTAATTTCTCAGAAGAAATAGATTTACCCTTTAGCTCTGAGAGGTGAAACTCCATCCACTTTAGCAGTAATGAATCTAGATTTGATTCTCCGATTCTGAAGTCCTGAATGAAATGCACGCTTTCACTCCCACCTCGCCCCCCTCCTCTCGACACAGCAAGAAGAAATTATAGCAAATCAGCCACTGCAGATAAATGAAGTGAGAATGTTGCTGTTTGCAGTCAGTAATTCAGAGATACCGTAGAGGGTCTGAGTGCCTTGAAAAGGTCGCCAAGGCAAGACTGTTCTGGTGTTTAAAGCTAAATAAATAGCCTCCTTCATGGGCTTCCAGTCTCCAAACAGACTCCCAGGACAACTGAGGGTTGCTCCCAGGGCAGCTGTTAACATTTAATCACCCATGCTCTATCTCCATTCCCAGCTGCTGCTTCTGCTGCCTTTTGATACTGCGTTTTAGGCATCTGTCATGAGAGGCCAGCTTCCTGTGTTCTGACCAGGCTAGCCCTGAGGCTTTGCCCACGCATCTGCATTGCTGGACTTCCTTGTACACTGCATCTTAGGGATGGGGTCAGCAAGGTCAGCTCTTCAACACAGCTCCCAGTGAAATGCCTGGGGAACATTATAAACGGGGCAGTTCAGGGCTGGAGAATATCTGGCTGGCCAAACCCATCCCACTGGACAGGCTCTGCTATGCTGTCATTCATAGGAGCACCGTATTCATGGTGCTATGTGTGGCCTGCTTATTTAAGTCACATTAGTGGCTAGATACCCCAGCTAAGATCCAGGCCTTACTGTGCTGGGTGTTGTAAAAACACTCCATAAGAGGCAGCCCCTGCCCCAAAGAGTTTGCAGTCTAAATAGATGAGACAGACAAAAGGTGGGAGGGAAATCGAGGCCCAAAGAGACGAAAGGACTTGCGATAGATCAGAGGCAGAGCCAGGAACAGCACCCGGATAGCTGTGGTGCTCTCTGTCTAATGCCAGCAGGTGCTGTTTGCAGACAATAAAAATATAGCAACATTCCCCCATGGTCATCTAGACATATCCATATTCAGCGTCTTCTCTGCCCCATTCCTCACACGTGATACTAAATGGTGTCATAGCCTGGAAAGATCCATTCCACGCTCCAGAGCAGGACAGGGGAACAACCAATGTAGAGACTGCAGCCAAGACGTGGCAGGCTGGTAGATTGCTCCTTGGGGTAGGACTGTCACTTTCTCTGTCTATGGACATGCTGAGCATATCCAGTAAGCTGATTGTCCTTTCCTTTAGTATTCAACTTTTCAGTGGTCTGTTAATGAAGGGTTCCCAGTAACCTGGGACCCAAATTTATTGGGAGTGACTTCCATGGAGCCATTCTAGTTTACTCTAGCTAAAGAGCTGATCCAATGAGGTGTTTACTTTCTGACAACAGAAGACCTTTGGCCCAGAACTAGAAAATTTTTGTCTAAAAGGTGAAACTGGCAAAGGAAAAAGTACATGGTGCCCTGCATTTCTAAGCTTTTAAATGATGTCATGCAAAAGGTAGAATTCCTGTGTATGCCGCTCCTGTTACTTTAACTGCAATTCTGGTAAATGCTGTCTCATTGGAAATGGTGATGATGTGAAGGCATCCCAGTGGATGCAACATGCCACACTGGGCAGGAAATCTAACTGTCTTGGGTAACTGATGGAGCTTGCTTAAAGCTCTCAAACAAACAAAAAACATTGCAGGAGTTTGGGCTTTGCTAGTAAACAAATAGATAGTAAACTTCCCAGGTAAGCTGAGTGTAAGCTATGGATATCATTGAGATGGTTGTTGAAAGGAAATTGTGCCCAGCAGAGTAAATGAAACTAAACTGCACTGAGTACTCTCTCTGTTATAGGTAGTTGTATGCAGTGTTGTTGTGGTCATGTTGGTCCCAGGAGATTAGAGAGACAAGGTGGGGGAGGTCATGTCTTCTATTGGGCCAGCTACTGTTCATGAGAGAGACAAGTGTTCGAGCTTACACAGAGCTGAAGAAGCTCCAATGCTTGTCCCTCTCACCAACAGAAGTTGGTCCAATAAAAGACATCACCTCCCCCACCTTGTTAGAGGTTGTCTCAGCAGTAGAACAGAGGGGGAAAGAAGCTAGGAACTTATTTTGAGGATCACTGTGACAAGTTTTCAGAAGCCAGGGGAAGAAAAGGTAGATTACTTCTTACAGCTCAGTAACACAGCTCTTAGGCTGAGTTCTAATGAGGCTGCTTAACTTTGGGAAAGACAACAACGCCTTGCATTTACAATAAGCAAGAAAGTGACAAGACTCTGCAAACGCAGCCATGAGAACGGGTTTCTGACTGAAGGCAAGCAGGTACACCCACACACACCAGTTATCAGCAACAATTTTAGTCACCAAATTATTTTCTCAAGGTAGTAATAGAAAACAAAACAAATGCAAACCTATTTTTTTAATCTATCCCAGCTAACGGAAAATGCAAAAGGAAAACCAGGGGCTGTCCAGAAGGTTTTTGGATGTACCAGCAGTCACTTGGGAACATAACAGGAGGACATCTGGATTATTAAGATTTGTACACTGATGGCAATAAAGCTCACTACCAGTATATTTTGATGAGGACTTCTTTTTAAGAAAAAGGTCATTTGATGGCTATCTTAGCAACTGTACATGGCTTCTCCCTCATTCACTTTCATGTGCAGAAGCAATCCATGGCAAATGCAAGATACTGAAAGCCTGGTCTCTTATGTGGTGCACACAAAGAATAGAGTCTGCTACGTTTTAAACTAATTATAAAATGTTGCCCTGTATATGTAGGGCAATATTCAGTAATACAGCCCGACTGCTTTACAACAATCTATCAGTGCAAAGCAGCCATAAACCGAGCTTCAGCCTGCTAGTTAAAGTGGTTTGATGGTTATTTTGCATCACCAGAACAGTACAAAACCGCCTGAGTATATCAGTGAATCTGGCCCATAATAGGTGTTTTTGTGTTTATACAGATGGCCTCAATTTTCAGAACTGACTAGTGATTTTAGGTGCCAAACTTGAGTCAGCTGAGAGGGAGCTGGTTTTCAGGGAATAGATGTTTTGTGTTGGACACCCAAAGACTGAGTATCCAACATGACTTTGCTAGACACTTTTGAAAATGTATGTTCGATAGACAGGTTGCACTAATGAATACTTTCAGCATATGGTATGGACATCCCCTCCCTATTGTGTAGTGTGTCGGTATACAGAAACGTCTGTTAATTTATTAATACTAATGGGGAGGTACAATCTGATACAGAGAGGGTCAGCCACAGAAGATGCCATTTCCTGTTTCTCTAAGAGATTTCTCTAAAGCCTCCAGAATGTTCAATATCATCTTCACAAAAATTATTTACCAAATTTCTTCAACTGTTTTCTAAGCTCAATGCGTAAGAAATCACTCCAGAAGAAATCCCAAGTCCCACCAAACATGCTACAAATCAATCCATCATTCAACATAAAAGCCCTAAGAGAATGACAATGGCATTAATAATGGAAAAGATGCCCAGGTGACTTTAGTAATCACACACATAAATCATAGTTGTGGTCTCAGTTAAAAAGCAGGAGCCAGTAATCAAAGACCAATGTGCGCAGCACAATGATGTCACCTGGGACTATTCAAATCTCACAGCTTTCCCAGGTCTTCAGTCTTCTGCCTTTTCTGCATGGATTGGGGGGGTTTTATTTAAATCCAGCGAGAGCTGAAGTAAAAAAAAAACCCAGATAGCTATGACTGTGACAATGTTAGGAAAGTGCACAGGAAAGCCAGAAACTGAGCCCCACTCCATTTTCCTATTGTTGCAAAAGTTTTTCTGTTTCTGAAAAGACTCAAAAGACGCTCCATTAGCAAATCTGCCTTTCACTTCCAGACATCAGGTTCAAATCTGCCAAGGCCATGGAGCCTGGGGATCTACCACCAATTGCAAAAGCCTCCCAATTTGGCATGTTGGGAATTCTCTGCGTAGGTGATATGCAGTACTCCAAATGCAGAAGTCATGTCGGTCAAAAGTGAGGAACATGGGCAGAGCTGGTGCGACAAAATCACGTGATTCAGACTGGACACAAGACAATACTATAGGTGACATGAATGTCCAGAGGTATCATAGTATTTCCTGGAAAATAAACAAACAAACTTTTGGAAGGGATAATACTCTCCTGCTTCAGTGCAGAACCTGTCTCCTCCAGCCCCCCAGAGCCATTCTGCCTATCTCAGGTGATTTCCTATCAGGTGCTATTCCGGCACAGACCCCCACTGCGCCCCCACAGCAGAGTCTGTGCATACCGGTATCGCTACATCCACCAGCAAACTGCAGCCATCTCTGGAGCATGTGGTCCCCACTAATAGAACACACTGAGAACAACAATAGAATTTGCTATAGTAGGACAAAGCACTTAGATATCTAGCCCAGAGTCCTTGTTTCCACAGTGGTCAGTTGTTGGTGCCTGGAAAGTGACAGAAAACCATAAAGTACCTGACCAAATGTGTAATGTTATACATGGGAGGGAAACATTCCTCCTGACCCCTGTGATGATGAGTTTAGGTCATGAAGCATGAAATTTTATTACCCTGCCAAAAAATTGCCCTGTCTCTTTCAAGTGAATTTCATTGACTTTAGTGGCATCCCACTGTTTTCATTGTAGTTAACTGACTGGATCCAAATATTTCTTGCTAGCGCATTGTGCTGCCCACTGACTCCAAGTGTATATTAGCCAAAATGAGTCAGTGAAAACTTCCAGAAGTAAATGGCAT